AACAGAAATAATTGCGGAGTAAATTTTACCCTCCTTTTAAAAATTCTCTGGATATTCCACCATATCTTAATCCAAAATGCTTTTATCTCTCTACACGACCACCAAATATGATAATAAGTAGCATCCGTACACCCACATCTCCAACATTTGGGTTGTAGGTCAGGGTACATAAAAGACATTTTTTGTGGATCAAGGTGCCATCTATAAAACATTTTATAGAAATTCTCCCTTAAATTCTGTGCTTGTGTAAATTTGACATTTCTCACCCAAATAGTTTCCCAGGTGTCCAATGGAACTGGCTCACCAAAATTCTGCGCCCATCTAATCATACAATCTTTAATTAGTTCCGTTTCTGAGTCCAATTCAACTAGAACCCCATAAATTCTCTTAATGTGGGCTTGTCTTTGATCCTTCACTTGCTTAATAAAATTTTCATCTTCTCTAAGAAGGCCCACCTGACTTCAAGAGATCTTATGAGTATTAAAATCCTGTCTTAAGAATGGAATTGGGTAATATGATCTGCAGATTTATTTTCCAGACCCATAGCTCTGTGAATTGCTAGTGTAATTTCCACCACAAATTAAACCTTCCTAATACTTTTAAATGCAGCCTTCTTGTTCTACCTGATTTAAAGCATAGCTTTAAAAAAGTACATTTTATATTGAAGAATGATATTAAATCCTGCTTTCTGTCTAAGATTTTACCCTGGTCACTTCCTCCACCCTTCATAATTCATTCAGTATAATTCCACTGGCTGGTATCATAGACTGAGAAATAGTAGGGAAATTATTTCTGGGGGATAAAGGAGATTCATCTGGGCATGTTTGCTGTTATATTACAAATCTTTAGTAGAACAATAATGCTGTAAAACTTCAGTGGAGAATTGCTTTTCGCTTTCTCTCCATTTATGAAGGGTCCATCTCCCCATCCATGTCACTTCTAATTATCTTTGGATATAATGTCTTCAGCTGGGGCCCATGATGCTTTGCTTTGAAACTGCAGTCTCTTCAGCTGAATTGAATAACATCAATGGGGTGTTTCTATGGTTTCAGCCAGGCCAAAACTGGACAGTGATGAAAAGGTGAAACTTAAGCTGGCTGCTCCTAGAGGTCACCGTTTCCCCATTCCAGCCTCCCTTCCTTCAAGCTGTCTGCAAAGCCAATGCATCAGATTGACAATAATTCCTTTTTGCAACCCCTAGGATAAAGGAAAGAGTGTCACTTCCAAAACTTGCACTCTTTCTTAGATGCGAGACTGCTTTGCATGTATTAAACATAAGAGCCGATAACGATCTGCTGGTTAAGAATTGCTCAGACCTCACTGCAACTGTGAACTTCCTACTGCTGTAGCCTTGGGCACACATAGTGACTATGCTCATTGTGCTAACACTTAATTGGTTTGTTTAGTTTCAGTTTGGCTTGGTTTATGTGTCATATGAACCAGTCGTGAGTGATAAATCATAATCTATGACTTAGCAGTATTGCATACAAAGTTAAAGATGGTTCATTTAGTAACCATAGTTAAATCATGGTTTAGAATGATGTGGGAATAGAAGTAGAGACTTTTTGCAGCCAGAAGACCCATTTAAAATACAAACAATTTTCTAAGAAATACAGAGAGTGACGTGATACTCCTAGAAGAGACATGGGTAATAATTTTGTCCAATACTTTCTGTGATTCAGGATGTGGGATTCAGTCAAAGTCAATATGTTAGTCTAGTATAGGTTTAAAGCCACTGTTGGATTAAAAAAAAATATTGCACACTGACCATCTGTGATTTGCCACCAAATTGCATCATGTAATTTTGGGAAACTCCAGGGATCACAAAAATGGGAGTGAGGCATTGCAGTTTATGGTTTCTCTCCTGAAAGACAAACCCTCCTAGACTCTCTGGAACATCTTCTAGGGAAAATATGTCTAGCTTTGCCTTCTCTGTGGATTTAGATAAACCACTTAAGATTGCCTTATGGCAGTGTTTCTCAACCATAGCAACTTGCTAGGGAATTCTGCTAGTTGGAAGTCCACATGTCTTAAAGTTGGTGAGGTTAAGAAGCATCACCTTATGGCGTTGCAAATTAGAATCACTAGTAAAAGGTTGTTTCCAACATAATACAGGGGAAAATACTTTGAATAATAGGAATACCCCATATAAACTGAAGAGAGGTATTTTTTCTTAATTTGTCATGTGAAATAAATTTATAGAACAATTGACAAGAGCAGGATGAAGTAGTTCTTTTCTAGCTGCCAAGTTGTGTTTTGTTTTAAAAGAGAGTGCTTTCACTCTTTACTAAGAGAGATCCCACGCATGTAAAGCAGCAGTTACATGAACAATACACTCCAAACTTTCTTGTTTCTTTCTTATTGGAGGAGAATTTGAAATAGGTGAATGAAAGCAGCTTAGTTCTCCCAGCAGACTTTGAACCAGCAAACAATAGAGGCAGGTTGAATTGGACAGAGGCGAGAATAATCTGGAATTCCTGGTACTGGATTATACCAATCCTGGGCGTCTTAAAATGAAAGTAGAAAGCAGTGGTATTGCAGCATTTTTAAAATGCGAATGGAAATAGGAATTTGTAGCAAGTGATGTAGGACACATATCCTAGTGGATCTACACTAAAAAAAAATTAGTGCTGTGTACTTTTTTTTAAAGAAAAAATACCATTGTTTTCACTGTGATTGCTTTTTCCCAAAATGAATATAATACTTTAGTGACATTTTCATAAGCTGGGTCTAAAGATTTCACATTTAATTTAGTGACGAGGTAGCCCAAGTGTGCATTGTAAAGGGTCTTGTCTTTCATTTTGCAGTCTTCTTCTTGATGTCCTGCACTTTATTTAGTTAGTTATTTAAAATAATTATAAGCCTGTCTTCTCATAATTTGCACAATGGGCAATCAATAACAATAAAAATACAGTATAAAACCAAGAACAACTCAACAAAACTAAAGACATACTCAAGGCTGGCAATCAACATATATACAAATACATTTACCACAGAATGGACTTATCTGCGTTTCAGTCCAGAATCCTGGAGAAAAGCCCCATTGTTGTGATTCCGCAGAAGACAAATAGGGTAAAAGGGAAACAGAAGGATTTCATTTCAGGATGGGTAGACAAATAGACTGTAAAGAAACGGAGGCTGTATAGTAATTGTTTTACCTGTCGTTCAGTCCTGTTCTCTGAGATTGCTTGGAGAAGTTCCTGCAGTTTTCTTGGCAGGGTTTTTCAGAAGTGCTTTGCCATTGTCTCCTTCCTAGATCTGAGAAAAAGTGACTGGCCCAAGGTCACCCATCTGGCTTTGTGCTCAAGGTGGGATTGGAACTCACAGTTTTCCAGTTTCTAGCCAACACATTAACCACTGCACTTACTGACTCTATACCAATTATATCAATACCTTTATCTGTTTTACAATACGAAAGGGGATTCAGAAACACCAACTAAGGCACTCTCAGAGGGTATGAAATAGGAAAACAAGATTTCTTGGAAAAGAAAACTTGCCAGAAACTGGAAGACAAATTTAAACACAGTATTACCATTTAAACTTAACAGTGTAATAGCAAACAAAACAAGAGCCAGGTTAAAGATATTCTGTATGTAGTGGGTGGACATTGCTTGCTTTTTTTGGCTTTGGTTTATTTACCCCCTGTGTTGTTCAACATGACATTCACGGTGGTTGCACGTCTTATTCTTACAACTGAACGAGGCAAATTAAATGGAGTAATTGGTTTGAATTGCACAACAGTGTAAGCTATACATAGTTTGTTCATGGTTTATCAACTAAGCCACAATTGCTGAGTTCACAGAGTTTATTAACCTATAATTTAAAATGTCTAAACCACAATCAATGAATTCATAGGACACACTCAGCCAAACCAAACAAGCTTTGGGATGACTTAGTGAGTTAACTGAACACAATCATTTATTGGCTTGATGTCACCCAAAGAGCTTTATTCCTAAATGAAGATTTGAAGCTGTCTAATTAGAGCTATTTCCTGTCTAATATTGATCCACTACATCAAATTGATTGGTTCTGAAGAATGCTGATTTTGGTCTGCAAGTATATAGTAAAACAAAAACTACAAAACTGTAAGATTAAGGGAGTTCCAGAAAATGGAATGGGCTAGCAGCATTATGAAGAATTGTTAAATTGTATCACTTACATCCAAAGTCAATGTGTTTCTGATATTTTACTAGCTTAGACAGGACTAAAACTCAGTTTCCTGTTTTCTAGTTTGGTTTCTTAACCACCAGAACAAACTGGCTCATAATTATATAAGAATAACCAAGTAATTATAATTATATAAGAATAACCAAGTAATTATACATTCATGTGAAATAATTTCTAAAGCAATTCATGATAACATTGCTGCAACATACTCATTAGCGAAAAGCAGAAGTAAAGTTATTGATGTCGCATAGCCTTTTATCTCTCATTTCTCCCATATATTTTTATTTACTGAAGTTAGTGGTCCAGTTAACTGGACAGCTAGTGTGGTGTAGTATAGTGGTTAAAGGTGCTGGGCTAGGAAAACTTAAGTTCTATTCCCCTTAGGCATGACAGCCAGCTGTATTTTGGGCCAGTTACTTCTTCTCAGCCCAAATAAACATTAGACTGTACAACTGGCTGGCTGAAATACAAAAACAAACAAAATTAGTCGACCATGTACTGACACCTTTGCTGTATGAATTAAGCAAGCACAGTGCAAAACAGGTGGATTTTGCAGTTGTGGGAGCAAACTCTAAGAAAAGCAATAATAGTATCCCAATAAAGAGTAATTAGGAAACTCCAGAGAGTTTTTACCTGCCACAATGAATGCTTGTTTATTAGATGCTACCTTTCAAGATATCCCAATATTTTCATTGTGTAGTCTATTATAAAAATATTGTCATTGTCATCAGCCATTCAGTTGTGTCCGACCTTTGGCCACTCTATGGATCTGCACTCTCCATGCCCCTTTGCCTCACATGCCTCCTTCAGGTCTGCCATGGTCATCCTGGTGTCATCCTCTTTAGAGTCCAGCCAGCGGGTAATGAAAAATATATTGGGGAAGAAGAAAAAAGATGTAATAATGAAGTCACATAGACAAGTTTTCTTCTCCATATGCATGAATCTTTTATAAGGTTTTACCTGATGAAGAGATTTAAAGATCTCAAAAACCTGTGTATTTTTGGTTATTTGGTGTAGAAGGGTGTTCATTTGGGCAATTTTTCTTAGGGCCAGCGCAATCTCAGCTATTCATTAGAAAGTTATTTATTGCAGTTTATTTCCATGCTGCCCATTTCCAAAGGCTTGGGTAGCTAACTATTACAGAATAAAAAATAACATCCACAAGAGCTCCATAAACATGCATAAAATAATGAACTCAAAAGATATATTGAGCAAAAAATACAGCAGTTGTATGTTTGCAAAACCCACATTCAGTCATAAGATGCTCTCCTTTCATGTTAAATAGAGGGCCTTCCTAGGTCCTATTTAATCTTCCTTGTTCCTAAAATCTACAATTCATGGAGCTGACTGAGCCTCAGGGAGAGAATTCTCAAGTGTGGGGAAAACAGTAAAAATTCCCATTTTCAGTGTTCCATCAGATGATGATCTTGTAAAGATGAGACAAGGAAATTGGCTTTACTGAATCTGATTAAATGGGTAGATGAATACAGAAAAAGATGGTCTTCAATCAACAGAGACATCGATTACATGCAGATGAGATATAATGATCTTATGATAAGCAAGGTGGCATGACACTCAGTTATGATTAAAAGTCTCAGAATTTATGGAGTTAAATTATACAGCATATTGTACTTGTGTTTCCACAACTTACTGAACCATAACTACATACACTAGGTTGTGAGACACAGCTAGGCTAAAATCAGGTTAATAAACCTGTATCTTAAGTACGTGTGCAAATAAAGCTACTCTGATTTTGGGCTGGTTCTGCTGATTGTGTGAACCCAACCCTGAAATAAGTAATACACAAATGAATTTCCCTGAGTTCGTATCTTTTGTGGTTCATTGTGTCACTGTGAGAAAGCAGCTTTAAAATATTTACGACATTTCCAGGTTTGACGGGAGGAATTGAGGCTTTTAATCAGATTTGAGCCCAAACTCGCAAAATTGAGCGATTTAATCCCCAGCATTTTGCAGGAACCATTCCGGACTCCAAAAATGCACTCCGGGTTTTGTTTCCTTCCTCAGCGCAGTTGGGGGTGGCTTGCTGTGTGTTTGAATGAGAAAGCAGGTTGTGGCGGCAGCTAAAAGAGCTGGCTGGGGGCGGCTGGAGACTTTGCTGCCTGGTGCACGAAAGTCTTCAAAAACCCATTTCAGGTTCAGCAGGAGGAGGAAAAAGAGAGAGAAGAAAAAGAAAGAAAGAAAGAAAGAAAGAAAACAAAAGGCGCAAGGAAAGAAGGAAGCAAGAAACCTGGAAAGGTGGGTCTGTAAAGAGCAGGGGGGCTGCTGGACTTATCGGATAATCAGGAAAGGTGCAAGGGAACTTCAGCAAAGCTTTCCCCAACCGGGCGCCCTCCAGATATGTTTGGGTTTCCTAATTCCCCCAATGCCTGGAAAGTATGAGAGCGGGACTCCAGTACATTTGGAGGGCTTGGGGAAAATGGTTTCGGAGGAGAGCCGGGTGGTCGCGGCATCTAGGAACGAAGAGCAGGTCATCCTTTATGTTCCTGGAAACCTTATAGGCGACTCCCCCGAACGGGTTGAAGGCTGTGGCGCAAATCGCAGCGCCGAGGGTGCCACCTTGCAAAAGTGGCCCATCCCTGGGTGGCTCACCTGCACGTGTCCCGTTGGGAGGGCGAGGAAGTCCGCCTAAACTTCTGGAGCGCCTCTCCTTCCAGCTGCGTTTGCGCCCCTAACCCCGTGACGGGCCACTCTCGGCGCTTGTAATTGCGGAGAAAATCCTCTCGCTTCTCAGGGAGACTCGATCCCCTCATGCTCCGGCCTCTCACCCTTAAACAAATAAGGCTTTCCTATTTGTATTCCTTTGTTGTTGTTAATTGCGAAGTCGTGTCCGACCCGTTGCGACCCCATGGACAATGTTCCTCCAGGTCTTCCTGTCCTCTACCATCTTCTGGAGTCCATTTAAATTCACACCTACTGCTTCAGTGACTCCATCCAGCCATCTCATTCTCTGTCGTCCCTTTCTTCTATTGCCCTCAATTCTTTCCCAGCATTAGGCTCTTCTCCAGTGAGTCCTTCCTTCTCATTAGGTGGCCAAAGTATTTGAGTTTCAACTTCAGGATCTGGCCTTCTAAAGAGCAGTCGGGGTTGATCTCTTATAGGACTGACCGGTTTGAACGCCTTGCAGTCCAAGGGACTCGCAGGAGTCTTCTCCAGCACCATAGTTCAAAGGCCTCAATTCTTTTGCGCTCAGCCTTTCTTATGGTCCAACTTTCACAGCCATACATTGCAACTGGGAAAAACATGGCCTGGACTATACGCACTTTTGTTGGCAGGGTGATGTCTCTGCTTTTTAGAATGCTGTTGAGATTTGCCATAGCTTTCCTCCCCAGGAGCAAGCGTCTTTTAATTTCTTGGCTGCAGTCCCCATCTGAGGTGATCTTGGAGCCCAGAAAAATAAAATCTGTCACTACCTCCATTTCTTCCCCATCTATTTGCCAGGACTTGAGAGGCCGGATGCCATGATTTTGGTTTTCTTAATGTTGAGTTTCAAGCCAACTTTTGCACTCTCCGTCTTCACCCGCATCAAGAGGCTCTTTAGTTCCTCTACACTTTCTGCCATTAGAGTGGTATCATCTGCATATCTTAGGTTGTTGATATTTCTCCCGGCAATCTTAATTCCAACTTTTGATTCATCTAGCCCTGCCTTTCTCATGATGTGCTCTGCATATAAGTTAACTAGGCAGGGTGACAGTATACAGCCTTGCCGGACTCCTTTTCCAATTTTGAACCAATCAGTGGTTCCGTGTTCGGTTCTCACTGTTGCTTCTTGACCCGCATATAGATTTCTCAAGAGACAAATGAGATGGTCTGGTACTCCCATCTCTTTAAGAACTTGCCACAATTTGTTGTGATCCACCCAATCAAAGGCTTTTGCATAGTCAATGAAGCAGAAGTAGATGTTTTGTATTCCTTAGGGTCGTTCTTTCCTTGCTCTCCGGCACAATACGCGGTCCCTGGGAAGTATTGTAAGATCTCTGAGGCCACTGAGACGGGCTCTCAAGAAGGGGGTCTTGGATTGCAGTCTGCAAAGTCGTTGAAAGTGTTGGAGGGCTTGCATTTCCAGCTGCGAGGTGGGCCTGGGAGTGCTTTTCTTGACCATTTCTCTTATCCTTTTAGAAGAGACAAAAGGCCGGGGAGGGGGCCGGAAGAAAAGAGAGGAAATGTGGAGGCTGCTTATTATCTTCCATCTGTTTACTGAGATCTCCTAGTCACTAAGTAGCCTCATGTGGATTCACTCCCCTCAGAAAACCAGCCTCCATTGGTCAATCATTCCCTTCGCTGTCTCCCCAAACTTAATGGTGGGGGGAGAAGAAAGGTGACTGAGAGCTCCCTTTGTTGTGTGAAGTAAATCAGTCTCTGCAGGGACATTGGCTGCATCAGGCAACAAGCGAAAGTAGCTGGTGTGTTTTAGCTGTATTAAAAATTAGGCACAACATTTTCTATAGATGCCTCTTTCTCATTGGCTTGATTTTTAGCATTTGTTAAAGTTTTGGATCTTACTGGGTTTTTAAATTTGGTTAGCCCCCTTTAGTGCTTGCTTGAGCCAAAGGGAGGGGCCTTGTGTTTGAACTCATAAATAAAATAACGCACAGGTTTTTGAGTGCTCAAGAAATTTTATCAGGCAGGATGAAGGCCTTATTAAATGGGAATCACCTATATCCAGAAGTGGTTGATAATTTATGTTAGCTTAATTCAGTTATTAAAAGCTAACTTTTGGAATAGTGGATCCTGAGTTGAACTCTAATGTGAGAGACTGAATTTAAATTCCCCTTTCTGACTCTGTATTAGGAATGATTGGAAAAATAGAGCTTTTAGCCCAGGTTGTATTATAAAGTAGGAATAAAAAGCTGTCTCATGCTGTAACTGATAAAAATTCATATTGTAAAGCACCAAGGACATTTAAAAGAAATAAAAGTGATATTTAATGTAATATTAAGCTTATTTACTTAGAAATTAAGTCCATTGATCTTAAGGGAACTAGTTTCACGTGTCTGGTAATAGATAATATATCCAGAACTTTGATGAGTTGAAAGCTTTGTATAACTAATAACAATATTAAATTCTTAAAAACATTTAAGGTGATATCCTGATCTTAAAGGCAGTTTTGGTGTAATAAAAAACTTAATGGAGTGAATGTAAACCATAGATCTTTACACAAGTTATATAATTGCACATGTGCAGGTCCACATTAATTTCACTGGGATTCAGGAACATAATGTCTACTTTGCATGTCTTAGATTTCAAGTTGGTGTCTGGTCTAGCTTAAATCTGTCTGAAGGTATAGAAGATTTCATGTTTCTCCAGAAATACAGTATTGCTAAGATAGGGAACACCCTCACTATGGTAACTCATATACTTATGATTAGACTACTGCAATGCAGTTTATATGGGGCTGTCCTTGAGGAGGACTGAAAAGTTACAGTTGGTTCAAAATGCTGTGACCTGACAGCTGACAGAAGAGGGTAGATTTGGCAACATCATGCTTACCTTAAGGTAGCTGCACTGGCTACATCTAAACTCCCAACTGTAGTTCACAATGCTGGCTTTAACTTTTTCCTCTATTACTTGCAGAATTATCTCTCCCAACCAGGACCATCCTGCCTTGTGAATTCATCCTGAAATAAGTTGAATGTACAAGGCAGGATGTGTGGTTAAAGTTGTGGGTGTCTGTAGACCCTTCTTTCTTTGTGGCAGCTCCCATGACATGAAATGCCTTGTCACCTGAGGGAAGCAGAGCAGCAAAAACCATCTTATTCCAATGCGCTTTGGGTACAGACTTTGGACTTGAACTACACATGCAAGTTGCATTTTGTGAATTGTATTTATGTAAACTGCCCTGAATTATTGTATTGCAATTGATTATGTGCCACCAAGTTGTTTTTGACTCCTAGTAATTACATAGATAGTCATCGCAGTAGATAGCAGACCACACAGATAGTATTGCAATGGATAGATACCTAAATAGCCTCTGGATAGAAAAGAGACATGTACACCATGTGTATTGTGACTTATCAAATATATGTACCAAAATAGGAATGTATATTGTATATGGGGTGTATTTGCTTCTTACTGTATAGGAAATTGATCATAAGCAAAATAGGTGAGTGCAACTCTATATAAGCTTATTTCTTTGGAAGTAAAGCTATCTCAGTTCAGTTAGGTTGCTGTTTAGATGCACATAAGACTATACCTTTTTTTTACTAGCAAGTGTTTAATTTTTTTTTACAGTATTGAATATTTTAAAAATGAGCCCTTAAATTTCAGGAATCTTTTTTACAAAGACAGCTTATCCTAAATGGGCATGAGAACTGTTGCTGAATTAAATGGGAGTTTGGGATAAACATACTGAAAAAGTAATAGGGTCATTACTAAAAGCTCCTTCTTTCCCTACTATCTTATCTCTGACAGTACAGTATATGACAAAAGATGGTTTGTAAGTGGGGCTGACAATTTTTCAGTCTGTTCTATTTACATATTAGATGAAGTTATATCCAAACAATGCCAGCAGTGGTGGATTTGATTAAGTGCTCATGTCCCAAAGGTAACTCAGAGTCTTCTGGGATATATGGATGTCACTTCCAAGTTCTTATCTCCTGCAACGTGCCTTATACGTGTTAAATAGATGGATTGTTGTACAGGGCAGGCAGAGCAAAGAGTTAACCTCTTACGAGTTGGTTGATTGCTTTTCCTCTTCACCTCCTGCCTTACTACTTTACCCTTTTAAAGCACTGGCAAACTGGACAGAGGCTCTGGGAATCTGCTGGAAAGCCCTGTTCCCTTGTCTTTTTAAAACAGCCTCCCTGCTCCCTGCTCACTGTACTTGTTGATTAACAGAATTATGTTTGGTCCCTGTCAATACAGTTAATGTCCAGGGTCAATCGTTTTTATACTTCTGGGGAACTTAGCCTAGCTTTGTCTTTCAAGCAGCCAGGCGTGTGCGCTTATCAAACCAGAGAACATTTGTTGGTTTGTCTCCTTTTTCTTGCACCAATTTTCACTAATCAACATAGCCTTCTCTTCATGGGCATTTGGTGCTGTTAAGCAATTTCTTGGCTGTGAAAATGGACAGCATTTTGATTGTTTGAGCAACTGTGGACACCATAAGGCAGTTTTGGCCTGAACACATGGCGTTTCAGTTAACTCATTATTTTCCCTCCACTGCACTGTATCACTTCATCGGCAACATTTTATTAACCTTTGGGATGACATTTTGTAAGGTTTGTTCCATGCAGTTT